TTCGTAAAGGTAACCTATATAGACACGCATAGAAAAGGAGATTGACGGAGGAAAGCGAGGTATCGATTCTGGGTGTATCGTACGTGGACTGTATTCGCTCGATATATTGCGAGTTGTCGTATAGCTTCGATTCGATAACTTAACCAAGCGGACAAAGTCACGAATGCAAGAATTAAATCGTAAAAATACCTTTGAACAGACGGCGTGAAAAGGTTCGAGCACAGAGTGCAGTTTGACACTTGTTAGCCAGCATCTCGCGTCGTAATACTGGTCTAAAGGTTTTTCACGAGGAATCGACTTTTTCCCACTGCACGATTCTCGCGACGTAAAACGTGCTCGCGAAGGGATGGCTTCGCACTGGCCACCGATATAACACTCCGTTGATCCTTGCGCAGGAAACGTTTGATTATTTCCGAGACTCTACGAACATTCACGAATCGGTGTCACTCTAACCGCGAATTTTTAAGTAAACGACGCGCGATGTAATCTCTGTTCGCTCGTTCGATAAACTTTTTCTTCGTGTTTTAAGCCGAGAAATAACGCGGGAATCGATAAACGTGAGCATGGACGATTCGAGCTCGACTTACGATCTGTGGATGAGTGCGTTTAACTACCGATAAATACTTCCAACGTCCAACAACCCTACAGGACGTTTTCGAGCGAACACGGACGTGTACGAACTTTCACGAGTATTTAAATCTAATGGCGCGATCTATACGCGCGACGTGCGTCGCCATTCGTCGTTATTCGTTACGTGTGCTTCCTTATCGGACCATTCCAATTACATTAATTTTCTCAAATATCGATTTTTATAAAATCCTACGATTATTTGCTCGACATTTTTGTCTTCGTAAAATTCGATTTATAAAACAAGGTAGAACGTAACGAAGACAATTGGATAACCTATTATTACGCAGATATAATATATAATCTATACCGTCTATTTCCAACGGAAATTTATCTAGAACATGGATATAGGGGAAACGAATACGCGTTAATAGGCTAATGTAAGAAGGAAAGAACGTGTAAGAAAGAAACATAAATCCGAGAAATTGGCTTTCCCTTTGCGCGGTTTGTGCCCGCCTGATTTTAAAATACCATTGCGTTCCGTGCCCCGAATAAAGATGGGGCTGTCAATTGTTGCGAATAACGACTAACCGAATAACGAAAGTGAAAGTAAAATTTCTGTGCTTTTCTTAACGTATTACGTTACTTACGAAACTGGCTTGTTACGAGATGAGGTTAATTTGGACGCAGACAATTTCATCTGTCATACTCGAAAATCTTCTACCAATATTTGCATTGTTCGTGACCTCTTTACTTACCGCGTTATTATCTACTTAGGCGTTAGCCCTCTTTCGAACAGGGAACCGAAAGCTGAACGATATATACACCGTAAGATAGAGTTTCTAACGATACAATTTTATTCCTCACCTATACACAACTATTATGCTACGGTAAAAATTATTTTTAAAAATTATTAGCGATACGTCGATTTTTACAATATCGAACATCTATCTTCTAATAGAAATATTTTTTAGTTGTTCTTTAGTTCGGAGTATATCAGGTCTGGACTACCTTCAGGAAACCGAAAGCTGAACGATATATACACTATAAGACAGAATTTCTAACAATACAGTATTATTCCAAACCCATATACGAACACTGTGTTATGGTGAAAATTATTTTTAAACATTTTTAGCGACTCGTTGAGTTTGGCAATATCAAATTACCTACTAATCAAAATATTTTCTTTAGTTCGGAGCATGCCAGATCTGGACATAGAGTTTTATTTCTCACTCATACACAACCATAATGCTACGGTAAAAATGGTTTTAACAAATTTTTAACGACTCGTCGATTTTTACGATATCGAATACCTACTAATCGAAATATTTTCTTGTTCTTTAGTTCGGAGCATACCAGATCTGGACAGCCTTCAGGGAACCGAAAGCTGAACGATATATATACTGTAAATAGAATTTCCAACGATACAGTTTTATTCCTCACTCATACACGACTACTATACTATGGTAAAAATTGTTTCTAAACATTTTTAGCGACTCGTAGATTTTTACAATATCAAACACCTACTAATCGAAATATTTTTTAATTGTTCTTTAGTTCGGAGTATACCAGGTCTGGACAGCGTTCAGGGAACCAAAATTTGAACGATGTATATGTCGTAAACAGAGTTTGCAATGATACAATTTTATTCCTCACTCATACACGACTACTATACTATGGTAAAAATTGTTTCTAAACATTTTTAGCAACTCGTCGTCTTTAATAAAATCGGACACCAACTAATTGAAATATTCTTCTTTTGTTCTTTAGTTCGGAGTATACCAGGTCTGGATAGCCTTCAGGGAACCGAAAGCTGAACGATATATATACTGTAAATAGAATTTCCAACGATACAGTTTTATTCCTCACTCATACACGACTACTATACTATGGTAAAAATTGTTTCTAAACATTTTTAGCAACTCGTCGACTTTTTCAATATCGAACACCTATTAATCATTTTCAGTTGGGAGCATGTAAGATATAGACAGCGTTCAGGAAACGCGTGTAAATTTGCAAATCCTGGACGCCTGGAACGAATGAGGATTTAGCCAGATGGAAGTGGATGAAAGTTGGATCGGCTTTCGATCGTTACTTTGGTACACGCATCATCCTAATGTGCCTAGAAACCACGCCTTAGTCCTTTGCTCTCGGATACTACTGGGTGGTGGTAGTCAAGTTTTTCGGCTGTGGCGACCTACGGTGTGTCGCACGAGTATTATTCGTTCGCGCCATCGCATTCGAGTCGGTTCGTTCGGCTGCGCGACATCGTGACCATTGTACTCATCGTACGCCTCGTTCGATTTCGAATTAACGCAGCTAATTAGAAATCGATTGCTCGTGGTGCGGAGAACACGGATCGCGCTTCGTTCGAACATCCGATTCACAGGATACGAAGCTGCCTTCGGGAAGGAAGAGGCGTCTTTTTCATTTCCTATCTCCCTCGATTCGATAAACCAGTGGCCTAGACGGTTTTCACCTACATAATCGTTCGGCCACTGATATTAAGACTCCGATCACGCGCACACCGGTAAGTATTCTGCCGTTCTTGCGGTACTGATTGCACCTTATTTTACCATCCACACGAGTAATTTTACTTGGAAGAAAAAGTCGAAATAATCTCCCAGTGCGAATTCGAGGATCGTTCGTGGCACGTCTATATTAGATCGGTGAACTTGGCTCGGGAAAAAACGGTTTAGGCGGGAAATACGAAAATTACGAATATCGAGCGGACTTGTATTCGAGCAAGCATGCTGCTTTCGAACAATTTCTACGGACGTGGTCGTAGCAACGTGTGTGTATACGTCCTCGGTGATATTTCGTGCATTCGATAGCATCCACTGTTATCCGATAAATCGTTGCTCTTTATAGGGTACAGGTTGTAGGATTTAAACACGCTTTTAACTGTAATAACGTTGAAATAATTTTTCAGATTTTCGCATTTCTTTTTTACTCTTGACCTTGGCTGAAACCTTGACTCAGAGGAACCGTCATTCCTTTCTCTCATTTTTTCTTTTTCTCTATTTTATCTCGATTCGTATCCTCGATTTGTCTCGTTGATATAATTATGACAGAGAATAACTCGTTACTATTGTTATCTTCGATTAATTTTGTAAAATCGTATATCTCGTATCGAAGTATTCGAAAGTTTTTCAAATTTTCTATATCCGTCATGCGATATCGCGTGATTGTGTATATTTTTATACCACGTGTGATTATGTTTTACTCGATGTATGATCGAATATATAATCGAATATACAGAATAATGAAATAATCGATATATATCGCGAATGATATATAATCAGAAGTGTTTGTACGAATGCTTATTTATTCGAGGGCGTGCTTGCACTTTTACGAAAGAATCATCGATCGAGTGATTTCGAATTCTCGAAGGACTAGCGAGAATTCATTGTTTGTCGGTATCTTTTATCCGCTGTCTATTGTCATCTGAGACACCTGCCCCGAGAGAGTTACGTTCGATAAATATTCAGAAGGCTGTAGAAAAAAGGCAAACGCATTGTTTTGGACTTTTCGAAGTAGGTATGCCAAGATTTCAGAAATGTTCGTAATAATATGTATGGGGTATAATAATTATTTTATACGAAATTCTACAAATTCGATTAAGAAATCATTACCTGTGTACAATATACGTGTCGAGTCATCATATGTGTGCGAGTCACACACGTAACACGATTGCATCGACATAGACGAACGATTATATCGTTCTTTTCTTGTAATAACTTAATTAAATAGAACAGTATATACCACTGCTTTTTTCGTGATACACAATTATATTTTATAACATAATTTTCAAATTTGGAAAAGGCGATTATCCTTGTACGGTGTAATTAACATACTCGAGCATCGTAAAGTGTGAAACATTATCGTTGTATATATTTCTTCGTAGTAGTTGTTAACTTAAGGGTACCGAATTACCGAAATTGATTACATTTTGATGTATAATTATCCAGTTGATACATAAAAGTGAACGTACTCGTCGAAAAAGCTTGCCGAGATATTCGGTCGTACTAAACGAAGCTTATAACAGCATAGTAATAATAATAAGAATAATAATTGTGTGTCATACTGCAGATATACGCTCGAAAATCGGAGCTACAAACTATATTTAGACACATATATGTACACACGGATAAGACAGTTACGTTTGACAGACAAGACTTTGCATTTATCGACAAAGAAGGAAAGAAAAGCTACCGAATCGATCTCGCAATATTGGACATCGAACGGTTGTACGAAAAGAGCAGGAAAAAAAGACGAAACTTATCAGCCCAATTAAAGATTGACATAAAATACGAAAACCGGTAACCACGGTAGTAATTATTATCATTCGTCACAGGCACCAAAGAGATTGTTCAATGTCCGAAACTGGTTCAATGTCTCGAATTGCTTCGAGACATTGGATATAATAAATACGCGAATATAATAATAAGATATAACAATAAAAATATAAAAATACAATATATAAT